CATGGAACTGGCTGCTGAAGCCCACAGTTGAAACAGCTAAAGTGCTTTGCATTTGTTGAAACACGTGAATGCATTATTATCTATTCTGTAAGTCAGCTTGAAATTAAAAAAACAACAAAACACTAAAGCAGGTACAAATGGAGTCGAGATGGGGCTGAAGTTCTACACACTCGGACACTCCCCGAGAGGCCTTGGAGCTGCCCTAGGTGCCTCTGAGCACAGTTTGAAAGCCCTGGGGCCAGGCGGACCCCGAGGTTCCTTTCATTCCTGACGTGCTGAATCAACTCAGACACAGCCTTGGAGAGTGTCACCTCTCCCAGCTGGCCCCTTCCTGACTCTCTGCGTCCACTTCCAATACTCCTTGTGGGAAGGGAAGAAGCCAAGGGAAACTTTTAGGGTGTCATGGGTGCTTAAGCCCAGGACTGGAAAGCTGGGCAACTCAGAAATAACGTGGGAGATTGAGACTGGAAATCAGTCAGACTTAGATTCCATAAAGGCATCTAAGCTGCCACGTTTCACCCCAGGGCGGAGCTTCAGGCTCGCCTCCTTGGCTCCCCCTAGGGGCCACCGCTGTATCCGTGTGACCACAAATGGAGGGGATGAGAAACAACACCCAAGTGTCCAATGTGTCACATCCCAAATACGTGGCGTCTATACCTCCATCTGCTCCTCCTGCACATGTGGCAGACATGACTAATCAATTCTATCATTTCCCCTAAAGTCCACAGTGGCATCTGAATCCTGAACCGTTTTTCTGGCGGTCGCTACCAAAGGACCGTGAGTCACAAGCTCTGTGAAACCTCTTTGCCATGCTTATGATCTGAGAAACAGAGAAATCAAGGACCAGAAGGGGAAAGCAACTCACTCAAGGTCCCACAGCGAGCTGGTGGCTGAGCTAAACTTTCTGTTGTTACCCTTGTTTTGTTTTGTTTCTTTTTTCTCTGATCAATCTGGACTCCTAAGGCCAGGACTAACACGGGGCAACTCAGAGGGACCCCCTGATGAGACGGGCTAAGGCCAAGTTTCCGGAAGGGCCCGGCTCGGAGAGAATCGGTGTGTCCACCCATGTGCTCCCTGCAGACCTCCAGCTCTGTGGCTTGACGAGTGAGAGCAGAGTTCACTTCCCGAGGAGGCTGTTTTTCTACACAGTTTTGTCAACTCACGCCACACAGACTCTGGCCCTGCTCAGCCCTGCAGTCCCTGCGTTCAGGGTCCGGGTTAGGACACAGGCTCTGTGCTGTGGAGAAAAGGTAGCTCCTCTAGTCCCCGGGGTCAGCTGAAACCTCTGCTCCAGCCTTCCCTCCCCTCCTTTAAAGACCGAGGTTCGGGAGGGAGTCTGCAGGAAGCAGAGGAGCACGCGCCTGTTAGCCACATCACCACGCTACCCCAGTAACAGAGCCGTGGGGGCTGGGGTAGGCCACTGCAGGTCCGCCAAGGAGAGAAAGCACTGCCTATTGTTCACTATCCACAGGGCCCGCTGCCTACGGAGGGAGGTGTGTAGGTGTGATAAGCTGATCAAATGGAAAGGAAAAAGCAGGGTGAACGTCTGGATATTTCCAAACATCGGAGAGTTTGGCTCAGACATCAGTTTGCTGTGTGACCTTGAATGAGTTATTTTTCCCTTCCTGAGTCTCAGTTTCTCTTTCTGTAAAATATAATGGTGGTCTGATGCTGTATGTATGTATGTGACGTGCCTACCTTTCCATCATGACCTGTGCACATCAGCATGTGGCCACTGATGGTAACTGTGCCTGACTGTGCGTCCACATAAGTGACGTGTGGACTGGAGGACCTCGGGGTGAAGCTGTGCGCCTGTGCTCATGTGTCCCTGACTCAGAACCCGTATGCTCCGGCCTATACAGGTAGGGGTCAGGGTTTGCACATGCATGAAGATGTTTACCTGGACCTTGTCTGTGAGTCAAGGTACCAGGTATGTGAGTGTGGAACCTCTCTGGGTCTGCTCGTGTATTGACTGAGGCTTTCAGTTTTGGCTGTGCCAGTAGGTGCCTGTTGGTGAAATCAGTGTGTATGATCTGCATCCTCACTGGCTTGTGTCTGTCCCTGTTTCTCTCTGCACACTTAGCTCCCAATCTCAATGACACCAACGAACAAACACTCTCCTGTTCATGGCGGTCCTGGGCTCTTTCCTTCCCTCCACCATCCTTTCCTATTTATAGCCTATTTTCAGCAAGAAAAGCCACTCTTGTGAATAGTTCACTGCAGCCACGCTATTGGCTGACAAGTCTCCACAGACGGATAAAGATTTTAGCAGGACTGTTATGCAACCTGAGATCCTATGGCCCCTCCTCTCCTGTTTTCTTCTCAACTATGGGAACAGGGAGTGTTAAAAATTAGGCCAGCTGTTCTTTCTAGTGAAGGCAGCATCTGGAATGTAGGTTTGTAGGACTTCAGAGCAGGAAAGGCAACTGGAGACCATCTAGGTGAGATTCCCTGTTTCACAGATTGGGAAACTGAGGCCAAGAGAGGGGAAGGGTCTTTCCAATGTCATTCACTGTGAGTTCAGACCCTCGTCTGCTGGTGCCTTGACCAGCGCTCTTTCCACACTGGAGGCTACAACACTCTTGGGAAATACTCAAGAAGGGGTCCAAGTCAAAATGAATTTAAACAATGTATTTTTAGCATGCCCATTAGCACTTTTTGTAAAGGGAAGTTATAAACAACCCCGCAGATGATGGAGCTGCCGAAGAAGAAAGCTGGGAAGACTCTCACCAACTCTTTGGATGCCCTAATGCATCAGCTGTAAAACTCCTCATCCGGGGGCAGGGCCACATTTCAGCAGGTGCTTCCCTGTGCATTGCCCCGTTTTGCCCACATGATTTCCCTTTGGGATGGTTGCTGTTACTGCTCTTTAACCAAGGAGCAAACTGGCGCTCAGCAAGGAGGAGCTCTTAGTTCAAGGTCAAATGGCCTCTGCAGGCCAAAGGTAAAGCTAAAACTCAGGTCTTCAAAACGCTGTCTGGGAAGCTCATCTGAGCCCCACAGCTGCCCTGGGGTCCCTAGGATCCCAGGAGATCAGTAGGGTGGGGCCTGCAGTCCATTTTTGTAGTATTTGGGGACACAGTGGAGTGGGGGACATTCAGACGGAGCCCAATGTACTCTCTGGTGTTCCCAGCATCCCCTCCCAGCCAGCAGGCAGAGACCCTGAAAAAAAGGTTACCGTGGCAACTCGCATTCCTCCTGGAGTGAGTCATGGCAAAGAAGAGCTTTTCAGTGGGTGGGACTTGGAGAAAGTCTCACAAGTTGATTCCTTCTCCAGCCCCCCCCCCCCCGCCCCCTCCCACCCTCTGCTCCAGGCTTTGTCGATGTGGCAGCTGATGGCTGTGAGTTAACTCTTCCCGCGGCCACTTCAAGTTCAAAATTTCTCAACCTCCGGCAAACATATGTTAGCTTCCAGTCCCCATCCACTGCGTCTCCCACACCAGACCTCTGGCTATTTTGGGGGGTCGTGCATCCGTTTGAGAACATCCGAATACCGAGGATGTGAACACCCTCTTGTGCTCTGTTTCTCTCCAAACACACACACACACTACTGTGCGGGCAACTTTAAGGGGCTTGCAGATGCCTTGAAGCCCATTCAAAAGCTGGTCTGTGGATTCCCATTTCATAGACCGTCATTTGAAAGTTTCAGAGGATACGAGGTGCCTCAAAGACCATCAGGTCCAGCCCTCTTGCTTTACAGATGGGGAAACTGAGGCCACAGGAGAGACTTACCTAAGATCACACATACAATGCGTGCCTCAAGTCTGCCATTCGGCTTCTGATTTGCTTCTCACGCTCCCATCAGCACTGGGGTGTGGAGAAATTTAACCCTACGGTATTGCTGGGGTGAACATTTTCTCTGTGTGTGTGCTGCATAGAATGCTGGCCTTTCTGGAAGAAAAGGTCGCCTCTCTGTTCCCTTTTGGGCAGCCTGGGCTCCAGGGAAGACCGTGCCCCATCCCAGTGCCCGTTCTCACGGGGTCCTTCCGGACGCAGGAAGGCCCCTCACCGCCCGGCCAGTGGAGCCGGCAGGGTAAAGACAGGAAGGGGTTTATCTGAAGAAGAACTAACACCCTAAGAGGCGAAGCACCAGTCCTGCGTTGGGTTTAAACTTCTCAAAACAAGGAGGTGTAAAAAATTTGCCCTGCAGCCTTCCTTCTCCGTCTTACCTTCTCCCTCCCCCCTCCTCCCCCTCTCAGCACATCCTCCACCACACCCAGCCTCTCGGGGGACCGGCGCTGGGGCTGGACGGTGTCAGCTGCCTGGGGCCTTCAGGTCTAGACTCACTAAGTGAGGGCTACCGCTGCTGAGTTCCTGTGTTTACACCCCAGGGAGCCCAGCCCGGGAACAATGCCTGACCCGAGGCTGCCTGGTGCCTCGGACTCAGTTTGTATCTGGCAGTGGAGATGTCGATGAGGCAGAATTCAAGGGAAATGGGAGCCTTCCCAGAGGTGCTAATGAAAGGTAAAGACCCCCTTACCCTTCTGGACACTAATTTATCATTTATGCAAAGTCCCTTTGGGAAAAGGGAGCCCCCTGATCAAGAGCCAAGTCCAGGCAGTTTCTCCTCCTGGAACGGGGAGCTGGGCAGGCACTGGCTGCCGGCAGGTCCCCGTAGCAGTTGTGACCAGATCAGATTCCCAGGGAGGGAGGGAGGTGGCTGCCACATTTGCAAAGGGGGCACAGAGGGACAGGCAGGCAGACTCCGACACCAGAGACAGCCACGGAGGGAGGACTCCCTCTCAGACGCAGAGAGATTATCTTCTGCAGACCTAGAAGTTACACTGTGACTGCACCCGAAAAGCAACAGGCAGGGCATCCGGGGCCTCGGCCCTGCAGGGGAGCAGTGGTGGAGCCCAAAGGAGATGGGCGCCCCCTTCCTTGACCCCAGACCTCCTAGCACAGCATCCCCCCCCCCCCCCCGACCCCGTACACACGCTGGAGGAGTGAACCAGGGTGTAGGGTGTAGAAAGGAAAGGCAGGGCAGGGGTCGCGCATACCTCAGTGGCAGGAAGGCGGCGGCTGAGTCGCTCTGGCAGTCTGAAGGTCTGCAGGAATGTGGAGGGGTTTAGAGCCCGGCAACAGGAAACCGCTTGGAGCTCTGGGCTGGGTCTGCCTCCCCTTCCACCCCTCCCGCCTGCCGAGGTCCCTCCTCCTCCTGTCTCCTCCTTCCCTCCCACCCCTAACCCCCACCCCCAGCCAAAGCTTCTCTGTCCTCCAGTTCTCTCTCCCTCTCCTTGTGGTGGGCTGTCCCGACCAGACTCCCCAGCCCTGCCTGCCTCATGGTTCTGGGGCTGCTGCCTAAATAGACTCAGGGAGTGCCAGGGCTGCCAGCCCGGCAGGCATCACCCAGAACAGCCTGCCCTGTGTTCAAAGGGGAGCTGAGGCCTGGAGGGGCAACGCATTACCCAACTGGCCCCCAGGGGCAGAGCCAGAGTCAAGTGCCTTGACTTCATGACAGCGCTCCGTACAAGAGCAGACATTGGGCAATGCCAAGGAGGGCAAAGCCGTGTAAGGGCCTGGTATCTGTGACAAAGGCAAGGCCCCAACGCGCCTCTGTACAGACAAGAAGCTGCCACTGGTGGAATCCTCACTGATGGTCTAAAAATAACCACTCTAACTCTAGTTGCACCATTAATAGACCCATCAGAGATTAGCTTTCTAGTTGGGGTCTCTGTGTCATCACTATAGAGCAGATATGGTGACTGATGATGTTGTTAATACTCGCAGTCGAACCAGTAGCCAAGGTTTACTGAGGACTTAATCATCTTCACAGCAACGCCTGCTTTAGACGTTGTTACTAGGCCCATTTTACTAATGAGGAAACAGAGGCTCAAGCGATGTCACTTGCCCAAGAGCACCTGGCGGGCTGAGGCTACATTCAGCTTCATTCACGCTGATGCTGCGCGAACTTTCTCAGTGCAGGAAGTCTTGGGTGAATATTTATTACAGCTTCACACTTAGAGAGGAACAAGAATTAATATCTGTCTGGCCGTTGGCCTCAAGAAGGTTTGGATGTTGCTGAGAGGACATGCCTCGTGGATACAGGATTGGGACAGACTCTGAGGCTTGTCCCGGAGGCTCAGAGTGGTGGGGATGCTGGGTTGGAGCAGGCAGGGAAGGCTTCCTGGAAGAGGTGGATCTTGAGTCATGGACTGGGCTTGAATAACATGGAAGCAGGCAAGGCAGAGAGCATTCTCATCAACCTCTGCGCGATGTGGCGTCCGCCTCTCTTGCCACAGTCTCCTCACACCTTTCTCCCCCTTGCTCACTCTCCTCCAGCTTCCCTGGAGTCCCTCAACAACCCCGACGTTATTCCTACCCCAGGACCTTTGCACTTGCTCTTACCTCTGGCAGGGACAGTCTTCCGTCTGGTGCTCCTGTGCCCACAGTTTTCTCATCCTTCAGGTCTCTGTCCTAATGTCGCCTCCCGTAAGAGCGCCTTCCTGACCACCCAGCTTAAACCAGTCTTCCTACCTCTCTCATCGGCATAGTGCATCCCCTCACCCCGTTTTACTTTCTTCCTCCCCCCTGTCAGGATCGGAAACCATGTGTCTCCCCGACTAGGCAGAAGCCCCACGAGAGCAGGGGCGTCACGTGCCGTCTTCACCGCCGCGCCCCAGCGACTGGAGCAGTGGCCATCGCAGGGCTGGCTCTCCGTTGGGGAGGGCGTTGCTCTCCAGTAGGGCTCCAGCCGGGAATCGTGCGGAACCCTGGTCTTCAGGAGATCCTCGGACCTACAGAAATTGGGTGCAACAGTTTGGGCACCTGTGCCAGGAGGGTCCCTGGCTTTCTCCAGGTTCTCAGAGGGACCAGTCAGGAATCCAGGGAAGGAGCTGCTCCAGGTGACCGCCAAGGCCTCTCCCGGTGCGAGGGCCAGGGCTGGTGCTCCGCCTGGGCGGTTCCACGCCAGGGGCTGCGGCACTCCTCAGAGGTCTGTTTTGCTGTCCGGACAGATGCCTATTTTTATACGATTGGTTGCTATAGCTCCCAGGCATCATGGGGACTAAAATTAACTTAAACTTTGTGTTTTCTTCATAAACTAAGATAATGATCCTAATGAAAATGAGCCACTGGAACTATTCCTAGTGTTTGGCTGGAGTTCCCATGTGGCCTTCGGCTCAGGGATTGGAAAGTCGGTTGGGGCTAAGCTGAAGTTTTGGGACAGAGATCCCACCTGGGAACCACCCCCCGGCCCCTACAGGGACACCCCCGGCCAGGATCCCTCAGAGCAAACCTTGGTAGGTTTATACCCGGGCGGAAATGTGGGAGGAACTCCAACCAGCAGAGCTCCTCCCAGCCACGGCAGATGAGAAATAAGTCGTCCTGGACACAACCATGTGGTTCTGGCAGGAAAGGGGGAGGCGATTCCCTCCAGTGGGGAACGCCCAAGCCCTTCCCCCAAATGGCTTTTACTGGGGGTGGTATGTGTAGGTGTACACAGCGTACATGCATAGCTCATCAGTCAATATCAAAAGGCTACAGTCATACAAAAACAGGTGTTATCTAGAGATAACAATGGAAGGAACACAGACATCTGTCATAGGTCAGGGTGTGTGAGTCATGCTGATGCCAGAGGGTCTTTAAGACGTGTTTCATAAGATAAGGCGCTTATTCCTTATGCTTGAACTTAAACATCCGGTTTACATCACCAGGACTATACAAAACAAAGCAGAGCAAGCGTCAAAGGATACAACGTATTTATCAGGCCTGGTTCCCACAGGAACCCTGGGTGTTAGAGTCAGGTCGTGTCTGCCACCTGCGTTACCTGGTTTTCCAGGGAGACTCACTAGCCCCCTTCAGAGCCTGCTCTCTCGGGGCTGCAGTCTCCGAAACCACACAGATCAGTCCCCGATGGGAAGAGCACCTTGGGCGACAGGAGCCTCTGAAGCATGGATGCCTTTGACCTAGAAAGGGAGATGACTACTCTTGTTCCTCCCCTTTCTTTCCTCCTTCCTCTTTATTCCTGCCATTTTGACACCCTTTCGGCTCTTCCAAAGTACTTCCTCATCTTCTGCCTCAGTGGATGACGGCAAGGTCTTGTGAGGGAGTCCAGGAAGGGCATAGGGCCTATATTGCATTTATGGGGAAACTGAGGCCCCAATCACCCAATAGAGCTGGGTCTCCAAACCAGGTCTCCTTACCCCTGGCTAAGAGGCAGATTCCCAACCACACCAAAGACCTGCTTGTCTTTCTGCTCAGTAATGAGAGTCTGTCCCCCGAACCACCTGATGGGCCATCTCTGGGCCTGGGGCCAGGTGGGCCACCAGGGTCCCCGCGTGCGAGCAGGAATACCCGGACCGGGAGCAAGAGGTCTGAACTCTGGAAAGAGACCGAGGAGGCAGTTCATTTGGCTCCTGGCAAAAAGGAAAGCAACGAAGTAGAAAGTTAAATAAATAACAGCAGTGCCAAAAGCCATCCCGTAAGGCCATACATTAGAAACAGGTTCGGCTCTCCAGGCCATGAATCCCGAGTGCACCTTGCAGGTAAAAAACCTAACCAGTTTTGCATGTGGGAACTTAACGGCCGTGGGAACCAGGTCCCACTGGAACAGTTATGACTGAGCTGGGAGGAGAGTTCCTATCCAATATTACTGAGCAGGCACAGGGCGAAACATTTTACCCATCATCTCAGTTAATCTTCACCTAATATACACACTTAGGGAGTAGAATGGTTTCCCATGATTGCTGTCATGAATGACCACAGACTTGGTGACTTAAGATACACAGTTATTACTTTAGTTCGGGAGGTCGGGAGCCCGGACACGAAGGCGTCGGCAGGGCTGTGTTCCTTACGGAAGGAGGGTGGAGGGAAGACTCTCTTTCCTTGCCGCCCCTGCTCCTTGGCCCGTGGCCTCCCGCTCCACCTCCCAAGCGTGTCACTCCAGCCACTGCTTCTGCCGTCACAAGTCCTTGTCCACTGTGCCCTCCTGCCTCCCTCTCAGACTCCTGTGATTGCGTCAGTCCACCCGGATGGTCTAGGATGATCTTCCCATCCTAGAAGCCTTACCTTAAGCTGCAAAGTCCCCTTTGCCACGTGAGCCCGCATACTCATAGTTAGGGGATGGGGATGTGGACGTCTTTGGGGGGCCTTTTTTTGTCTACCACAGGTAGGTATGATGACCACTCCCGGTTTAAAGATGAGATACAGAGGGGCGGAGAATGAATAACTTGCTCAGATTCCCTGGTGGTGAAGCCAGAGATCCACAGAAGTAGCTCAGCCCCAGATCCCCTCCCCACTCCCCACCACCTCCCCACAGGAGCCTCTGCCTCCACCAAGCTCTGGGAGAGGCTGCCTCCTTCCCCCATCTGCTCCAACCGTCCCCATCCTTCCGGCTCAGGCTAAATTTCTATCCTCTCAAAGCTTAGAGCTGATGAGGCCCTTAGGCCCTACTCAATGCTACACCTTGCTTGTATGGCTGGGAAAACTGAGGACCTTAAGGCCCAAGGTCACAGTGCAGATAGCTAGCCCTGGAGCCCTGGTCTCGCGACTCCAGCTCTGGCTGCCCCTTGCCTGTGGAGGCAGGGACTGGGCTGGCTGATCCCTTTGGGCTGAAGATTATGTATCAAAACTCTGAAATGCACCCTTTGTATGTCTGGCTCAAAGTCCAGGCTGCCAAGCTAAGAAGGCTGGGGGGCCTGGAGACTGACTCAGCCTGCCGTCTTGTTACTGTATCTTTCCCCAGGGCGGCCCTCCCATTGGCTGAAGGGCACAAAGACTCATTGTCATCTGGCCCTTGGTCCCCTGGGCAGAGCGGCCACTGACCAGGGCAAGGCCGAACAGAGAGGAGGATGAGATTTCACCGTGTTACCCCTCGCCTCTCTCGGTTCTCCCACTGATTCTTCCCTGAGCTCGTTACAGTGCACAAAGGACTTTCAGACCCACAATCTTGTGGAACGGCACAGTGAGTCCGAGGTAGAAAAGTCAGGATCCACGAAGCCCAGTTTGGGCTTGCGTAGACAGAGTGTCCCTGGGGGACTTGCCCAAGGCCACCCCGCCGGCCCACGTGGAGCGGAAATGAAAAGTCCAAACTCAACATTTCGTCCGAGATTCTTCCCGCTGAGTTACCTTCTTCCATCCGGGTCCCAGTGAGACTTTGCGAAGCCATCGTCTCACAGAGCCCCCTACTTCGATGAGGTGACAAATGGCTTCCAG